CAGAGTCAGTGCAGATGTGTCTTTATGAAAGGGGAGGTAGAGTTAAATTGTAGAAAAAAATGTATTTGTGTGCTGAATCATGAACTTGATAAACATTTGACTAATTTTACATTTATATTACTAAGAAAATAATTACCCGTGCTCTGTATCAGATGTGATTATCATACTGTGTAATGTATGAACGATACACTCTTCATTATGATCTACCGTGTTTTAAATAGCAATAATTAAACATCTGCCACATTTCAATTATTTCCACTTGTGGGTAAGAATGGCCCCGAGCAAATGGGAAGCTGTGCCCTATGCATCTTGGATACGAGAGCCTGAATAATCGAGATAATTATCTCCCTCAGCAACAGGGTTTTTAAACAGGGAATTACCATAAAACATTGCTATTTTCAATGGGAAACCTAATGCAACTCAAATAATTATAGCAAGACAATCAGGGAAGGTTTGAATCTTTCATCCCTCATTTGAAGGAGGAGTCAGTGGCTCTAATGTCAAAGCGTGACTTCAGATTTATTGTCGTTAACCTTGCCTATAAAGCAGATAATCTGGGTCGCTGAGTTCGCTTGTATCATATAGATTCAGATTTCACTTTTTTTGAAATAAAAGTGGCTTAGTTTGCTAAATGAATCTGTTCAGTTTCAGATTTTTCCCCCTCTCTCGTCCACACTCTGGCTCTGCTGCACACATGGTAAAAAAGGTCATGCAATTAATCTCACCATAAACCACAATAAATTACAAAGACCAATTTTACAGACTAATCCATAACAATACCAGTGCATGGTGCCTGGGCTGTAAATAAAGATGCTAGATGCTGTGAAGCATGGCTGCTGAGGACTGTAGTGGAGATAAACTTACGATGCCCCCCCCCCCCTGTGAATGGAGAAATCCAGGGTCAAGTTGTTCTCATTTCCTCTCTTTCTCACCCTCGATTGGTTTCTGCTGATTTGTTGGGTTTATGTTTTGTGACATGTAGTGCTAAGTCCCTTGTTTTTCCCTTTCCTCTCTGTGTTGAGTGAATAGCTCTCCAGCTCTTGAGGCGATGATAAACAGCTCAGCTTCACACACTGGATCTATTCAGCCTGGGGAAAATTTGCACCAGAGTTTCTGTCAGGCTTAGCAGGATGCTGATTTTACATTTAATCTCCTTTGAGCAAGACTGCCATATCTTTTTAGGATTTTACAACAGAAACCAGTCATTGTTGTTTTTTTTTCTTCGTGAGATCAAAAGTCATCAGAGAGGTGCTTTTAACCCAGTCACTCATCTCTGACACTCCTGATCTTAAGTGAATGTGAGTTCTAAGTAGATGAGCTCCCAGAGGCAGCAGCTTCCAGAGCAGAGCGCACCGTATCACTTCACCCCTTAATGAAGCCGCTGTAATCACACTCGTGCAGGATGGTCGTCTCTCATTAGCGCTGCAGTTGGAGAAATGCTCTGGAATTCTTTGATGTTGTCAAAGATTCCCTCAACTGTGTTCAGAACAAAGAGTGTCTTCCTCTAAGATAAGGGGAGGAGGACGCTTCCTTCTGTTTTGAGGATGTCAGGAAACCGTTTGAGTTTTGGAGCCCTTTGTTTCGGTTCCAAAACAAATTATAGGGAAAAAAAAACTGACTATTATTATGGTTTGTTCTGTGGGACCTACTGGAGCTTGAAAGAGTGAATCCTGACCAAACATCAAAACACAGCACTTTTCCTTACTAACAGGAAAGAAAATGGAACATGTGTTAGTCTAGTGACCCCTCACAAGTTGTTTACTTTACCAAAACTCACGAAAGGGGAGTGCTTTTGTTTGAGATATCAGCGTGTAATCTAGTCATGGGCATAAAGTTACAGCACTGCTACTATCCTGAACAACAGCACGACCCTCTGTGTGTGTGAAGTTGCTTTTACACAACAGTTTTAAGACAGTTCTTTGTAATTGTGATGGCTGTGCCCACAGCCACACAGAGGTTGTAGCATTTACCCACTCACAAACACCTGTATCACATGTTCATTTACTTTGAATTGCGGTGTCTTAAATTAAACACAACACAAATAGTTTGTCTTGTTTAAAAAATTTTTTTTAGCACTTTGACAACAAAATGTTTTCTGAATGGAGCACATACATTTAGTTTACATCGTTTGTCATTTTGCTGTTTGTATTAATTCATTCCTCTTTTCTTTGAGTTACCTGGCTGCTGGTTGCACGGATGTAGTTTGTTGGGGTGGGACGTCTAAAAACAATGTTACTTCACGCTATAGCAAACCAATACACGTAAGGACCAAACGGCTGCTCAAGTCGAAAACTGGTTTCTCTCGGTCTGGACCTCCCATAAGGTCTTTGATTGGCTCTGCTGCAGGGCCGCTTTTTGTGTGTGTGATTGGCTATCCCTGCTGACAGTCATTCCATGCTCGTTGGACTAGTGTTTTGCAAGTTGCACGTAAGAGTCACTCTGTGAACATTGCTATTCGCCGATGTAATTTTATAGGAGGGGGGTGTTTATTTTCTCTCCATAAGGGCGCATTCATCAGAGGTTTCATTGACATCCCTGTATCGGGTTTCTACTTCCGTCCACCGTCTGACCATATTGCCTCCTCTGGTACTGTGTGTGCGAGATGTGCTGTTTGCTAGGCTATGTGTCTCAACAGTACTCAACAGTACTCAAGTCACATGTGCCCCCACCTTTGAAATCCAAATTTCGTCCATGGTTTGGTGACATTTCCTGCTTGGACAGACAAAAGATGGGGCTGAGGGCAGAGCATGGCTTTATGCTGAAGTCCCTCACACAGACCAGACCAAGAGCTCTTGTATGATTGGAGATTTCAAGGTTTCATTGTGTTAGTTTTAATTACTGTGTATATACACTCACCGGCCACTTTATTAGGTACACCATGCTAGTAACGGGTTGGACCCCCTTTTGCCTTCAGAACTGCCTCAATTCTTCGTGGCATAGATTCAACAAGGTGCTGGAAGCATTCCTCAGAGAGCTTGGTCCATATTGACATGATGGCATCACACAGTTGCCGCAGATTTGTCGGCTGCACATCCATGATGCGAATCTCCCGTTCCACCACATCCCAAAGATGCTCTATTGGATTGAGATCTGGTGACTGTGGAGGCCATTTGAGTACAGTGAACTCATTGTCATGTTCAAGAAACCAGTCTGAGATGATTCCAGCTTTATGACATGGCGCATTATCCTGCTGAAAGTAGCCATCAGAAGTTGGGTACATTGTGGTCATAAAGGGATGGACATGGTCAGCAACAATACTCAGGTAGGCTGTGGCGTTGCAACGATGCTCAATTGGTACCAAGGGGCCCAAAGAGTGCCAAGAAAATATTCCCCACACCATGACACCACCACCACCAGCCTGAACCGTTGATACAAGGCAGGATGGATCCATGCTTTCATGTTGTTGACGCCAAATTCTGACCCTACCATCCGAATGTCGCAGCAGAAATCGAGACTCATCAGACCAGGAAACGTTTTTCCAATCTTCTATTGTCCAATTTCGATGAGCTTGTGCAAATTGTAGCCTCAGTTTCCTGTTCTTCGCTGAAAGGAGTGGCACCCGGTGTGGTCTTCTGCTGCTGTAGCCCATCTGCCTCAAAGTTCGACGTACTGTGCGTTCAGAGATGCTCTTCTGCCTACCTTGGTTGTAATGGGTGGTTATTTGAGTCACTGTTGCCTTTCTATCAGCTCGAACCAGTCTGGCCATTCTCCTCTGACCTCTGGCATCAACAAGGCATTTCCGCCCACAGAACTGCCGCTCACTGGATATTTTTTCTTTTTCGGACCATTCTCTGTAAACCCTAGAGATGGTTGTGCGTGAAAATCCCAGTAGATCAGCAGTTTCTGAAATACTCAGACCAGCCCTTCTGGCACCAACAACCATGCCACGTTCAAAGTCACTCAAATCACCTTTCTTCCCCATACTGATGCTCGGTTTGAACTGCAGGAGATTGTCTTGACCATGTCTACATGCCTAAATGCACTAAGTTGCCGCCATGTGATTGGCTGATTAGAAATTAAGTGTTAACGAGCAGTTGGACAGATGTACCTAATAAAGTGGCCGGTGAGTGTAGTTTCCCCCTGTGTGTTAAATGTGGTCTGATAAACCACTATATGTGTTTCCCCAGTGTCTCATTCTGGTTGTTCTGTTAGTGATGTTGTCAGATATCATTAACACCTGATAGATAGCAGTAATCAGAGCACCCAACAAGGAGTTATAACTTGACCTTAAGTCACAATACTGCTATTCTTAACATCCGCACTTCAAGAATGTGTACTGTACGATCAGTTCACCAGCTCCTGTCAAACTGCCTTTCACCAGTTTTGAAATGCTGAGCCTTAGTGATTCTTGTGGGTGTAAGGCCAGGATGGATGGATGTGAAGATTGTTGCCCACAGATGTCTGAAGCACTAGTCAGCCCGTTTTTTTCATGTTTATGAACCTATTTGAGACATCTGAGGCATACCTGGCATTTGATAAGGCTCCATTCCAAGGCTGAGTTGGAGACAGGATCTTGTGTTTCCACACTTTGGCTGTGGCTGCCATGGCTGCTGTCTGGAGATAACGCTGAGACTGGAGTCGCCAGCCTGATGCCACAGAGCAATTGGAGAGAGGCTCAGGAAAGAGGAGGAAAGCAGGGTGATTGTGAGAGAGCAAGGGACCAAACACATATTTTTTGACTCCTTTCAGACTGTCTGGGGGGCTTTGGTCACACATGGGAGCTCCCTACGTTGGTGCTGATTAAAAGGCACCACCACTCTCCTCTCGCCTATAGCTGCAGTGGCTGCAGGGAAGTAGAACAAACATGGAGACTTTTCTAATTGTCTGCATACCTGTAGGGCAGGGGGGAGTTAGTCAGCTAGCCACACACTGTTTACTCATCATGATTGAATGGAAACAATTAAAAAGGAGAAAAAAACACATCAAATATTAAGAATAAAATGGGACATTCAGACTGCTGTTTGTTTTGCTCAAGCTTTTTAAATTAAAATTTTATAGGAAGGCTACATGAGTGTTAAAACCTCAGTCTTGAGGCCCTTTAATCAGTCTGTAAAAAGTGCAACAATTAATTAAAAACATTAAAACTATGCCTCTGTGCTGCTTTCATGGACACTTAACTGTATTCAACCTGCTCAAAATTCATTGGTACCTAATTTTTTAAATTTCTCATTTACATTTTGATTATTTAAAACATATGCTGTAATTACAGAGCACCTAACACCATTATGGAAAGCTGAATATTGTCAGTGTTAATGCTAAACAAGCTCTGATTATTTCATTTTTGATGATTTCATGTCCTCTGAAACCTAATGCTTAATCTGATGACAGAGACTCTGGCTGCTTCTTTGGTCCTTGAACTGTGAAACCAAACTCTGTCAGAGTTGTGTCACTCCCAGAAATGTATGAATAATCTTGTGTGTGTGTCTGGCTGCCACCCTTACTGCTTTATGCTAACATGCCAACACCGATGATAATTAGGACTGTAACAAACTCTGAACTCTCACCTTTAGTTTGTCACACACCAATGTATTTTTATTATGCTGACCCATGTTGAAAGTTTGAGAGACTCCGCACATGATGACAAACAATGATAGAGCACAACGAGGTGGCCAACACAGCCCACCACACAATCACAGATTCTGGGCCAAAAGTTAACTTGATTATTTAATGAGCTTTACCCGCCTGTCCACCTTTTTTAGTTGAGCTGGAACCACCCATCAGCGGCCACGATCCATATTTAATGAAAGGATTTGGTTAAAACTGTGAAAAGCTGCAAAACTTATGAAGGAACTCCAATAATGCACATTTCTCACAGTTGGTGTATATTCCAGTGTTTGGTGTGCATTTAAGTGGTTGTTGTGCATTGAGGTGTTTTGTGTGCTCTAATCTGGTGTAAACCAAGGTAATGAATGCTCCTGGCTCTGCTGGTCAGGGATCAATGCTCTCTGGATAGATCATCTGCCAGTGACCAAACACCCCAGTGCACACATTAAACCGGCATAATTATACCTGGAGGAAATCAGCTCTCAGCTGAGGGAAATCAAGGTTTTAATTTAATTAAAGATAAGACTTCATAGGAAAGCCTGCGATGTGAAGGTCTTTAGGTTTTACAAGCTGGTGGCTCAGCCTTGGCAGCTCCCCTGAGAGAAATAAAACACTGACTGCTCTACTGTTAACATAGAAATCTATTGGCTTTGCCACATTTAAGACGTCCAGTGTCCCCATTCACAAGTTTACTCAGTGACTCACCAACTGTCTCTGAATTATCAGATCAGCGTAAGGATCACTTCTGCAGATTTGTATCCCTCTTGTTAATCTTCCTCCAGAGTTTTTATTTTTTATTTTTTTTTACCACATGGGCGAGCCTCAGACTGACTCAGAATAGCTCAATCAACAGATGGTAGGCGTTAGATCTGCAGTGAACAGAAACAATCCTTATATCCCAGAGAAAGAAAAAGTCTGGTTGGAAGATTTTTTCTATCCCCCCTGCTGTGTTACACAATTTTACTGACACACACACACACACACACACACACACACACACACACACACACACACACACACACACACACACACACACACACACACACACACACACACACACACACACACACACAGTCAGAGAAAAGAATCTGGAAACAGCAGATAATCAAAGGCAGGAGCAGCAACATTTGCCTTTACTGTTGATATCTGATAGTGATCTTATAAGGAAAATGTAACACCGGTTGGTGTTTATTCACGGTCAGCAGAAAATGTACTTGGGCGGCCAGGCAAACATTCTGCAGTGTTGAAAATGGTTTAAGGACTAAAAGCCAAGTTTAACAGACAGACAGCCACACTACAGAAAACTGAGTTTACATGCGAAATAACAGCTAACTAACCAATTTAATTTTAACTTAAACACTCAAAATAATTTAAGCTTTTTTTACATGGCTTAACCAGAGATCAAAGGTCATGGGGTAAACAATGTGAGATTGGTCTGTTGGGTGCTGTCACCACCAGCCTTCGGTCCTCCCTGCAGGTCTGCATGTATGCAATGCTAAAAGCCTGTTGTTTCAAAGATTCAAAACATGGTCAGCTGATTAAGGAAACTACACTTGACTATGAAGACACTTTTGGTGTGTTCAGAGAGCAGTTATGGAGGTAGTAGCAGCAGGACAAGAACATGAACTGCCGCTGTTTCATGGCTTCGCAGCTTTCTGCTAGTTAAGCAGACCTTTAGAAGCAGATTGAGGCTCTGCTTTTTACAGCTCTCTGTAGACAGGCCAGGCTATCGACAGGGAGAGGGACACTCCTCTGAATTCTGATTACAGCCACTTTGTGACACCTGGGGGACCGAGAAAGATGTCTTTAAACCTGCCATAAATATTCACGGCAACTTAATTGTGCGTGCTGAAGTGATATAAAGACCCAGCAGCATCACACTTCTGGGAAATTGCCGCCACAATACAGTTCTTTGGCACTGCACTCGGACTTGACTTGTGAGGAACTCACAGGAACAGGCTGTGACTGAACATGTGTCGTGAAAAATTTCCTGACATACAGTCTGCTCTGTCACACGTTCAGCCCCGCGTCACGTCCTGCCTCCTTGGCTCCACAGCTTCCTTTGCGGTGACAGCCTTCCTGAGACTCCACCTCTCACCTTCTGCTATTGTTCCTCCTCCACCGGTAACCTCCCTCAGGTTTTTATTGACTCTTTCACTAATTGCAGCCTGCATAAACAAAGCGTGGAGGGGACTTGGCAGTATAAAATGCTCAGATAATTAGTTTTGCAGGGGGGAGGACTGTGTCTGTGGACATTGATCTGATGGTTTGCTGTATTGAATATGTGAGGGAGGGACTATGGTGATGGTGACAGGTAGCCTGTCTCATGGATCACAGCCTCTCGTCAATACTACTCCCCCTCTATAGCTGTGGAGCATTTTCCAGCATGACACAGGTGCCAATTGATTCTGGGTTAATACAGAGGAGGGATTTGTTGTGATTAAACATTATTTCAGAGTCATTTCATTGCTTTTCTGTTTTGTCGTTATCCTTTGCCAACCAAGAATGAGATCTTCATTGGTGAAAAACCTCCTCTGGTGTATCTGTCTGAGTGTTTTTACCTGCCTTGGTGAACTACAGGTATTATTTGCAGGTGGTATGTAGTACTCAGCATGCTGCAGCGCACACCAGCAGAATCTAAATGCTTCATTTTCTCTGTTAACATGGGCGGGGGGTAGCCGGGGGAAGGGGATTTGTGCAGTGGCGTGTGCTATAGGTGTAGAAGGAATAAAGATGATGATGATGGGAGTGTTGGGGTGCAGGTGCAGAGGGAGCAGGGGAGGTGACCTTGGCCATGGTGGCGACCACAGAGAGGAGCCAGCCATCTGTCTCGGGCCACGAGGAGTTGACCCAGCATCATTGTTTAGTCTGAAGGGGTACACTGGGGTCACTGGATGGGCCAGGCCTCCTGGGTGAGGATCAGAATGGGGTGTCTGAGCTTCATGAAAGCCAGTGTTAAAGAGAATGAAGATGTAAGCCAAAAGTGTACAATAAATTCTGTCCTAATTCATTTTGAATGGTGCAACAAGCTGTTATGTTGTCTATTATTTTGGACCGAATGCAGTTTAAAACATAGAATGGCTACATCGCTCTGATGGTCCACCTCCCTCATTCACAATCCTTTTTATACCAGTGAAATAGCTCTTTCCATAATTGTCCTGTCATTTTGATGTGGCACCCCATAACCCTTTACCAATTTGTGAGGCATTTTATTGAAAGCTCGAAGAATAGAAGCCACAAGGACATAATTTGCTCCCTGACTCAATCCAAAATGGGCTTTTAATTCCCATTTGATAGAAATATTTCAGCTCTCCCTGCTCTTCAGGTCTTCAGCGCCGGTGAATAAACGTTTCTCCTCTGACCCCCGTGGAAAAAAAAAGCCTGGGAAAAACGTCAGGGTTTAACAGCTCAACTTTTAATCACTGTTGCTCTGACTGGTTGTGGATCTGTCAGTTGCTCCTAGAGACATTTTTGTGTGTGGCCATTGCTTAAGGAAGTGTATGAATAGACCCAGACCTATTCACGAAGAGGAATTGGTCTGGCAAAATATTTGATCAATTTTAATTCTGACCTGATAAAGGACGAAAATGTTCATAGTAGGGATGGAGTAGTAGCAAAATCTTATTGTACATGATGGGATCAAGCCTATTGTATGGCACTGAAAAAAGGGTAACACTTAATTTGACGCCTATCTCTATAACGCATTGTAAATATATGTATAATGCATTATAATCACATTATAGCACTGTATAACTATAGTTATAAATACTCATAAATGATCATAATGCTTTATAGCAATAATCATAACACATTATAAACCATTTTGTCATGACTTGCTTATAATTTGCTTGTAAACTTTTATAACTATCATAATAAACACTCATTAATGATCATAAGGCTCTATAACAATAAGCCCAACACATTATAATACCTGACCTTGTAAGTCTTGATAAAATGCTTAATAATGTGTTATAATTATTGCTATAAAGCATTTTGATCATTTATAAGTGTTTATAACTATAGTTATACAGTGCTCTAACATGATTATAACACATTATACATATATTTATAATGCGTTATAGAGATAGGCGTCAAGTAAAGTGTTACCAAAAAAAAATAAATAAATGCTTTATTTTGAGTCTTTGCTGGAAGTTTATCTTCTTGTATCTTTTTAGGGTGACAGGTGGTTTCTTCCCTGATTTATAGATCACAGCGCTCTAACTGTGACTGCACATTCTATTTTGTTTTTCATCTTTTCTCTTTTATGATTTAAGTGATCTTGTGAGGAACCAACACTGTGAATGTAGGACACTCTTCAGTTTGAATGATGAATTAACCCCAGTGTCAGACGTTGTACTCAGCATCACAGCTGAACACCAGCATAGTAAAAAAAGAGCAGATGCCTCTTTAAGTAGGAAAAGTAATCACCCAACTACTAGATAAATCATTGTTTTTTGCTAAAAGTTACATAACAAATGTTTGTTAGCATTGTCAAAAGTCATTACAAAAAAAGTACATACCCGGAGGAGCTTTAAAGGGTCCAGCCAGACCAGGTCTTGTTACTCTAACTCTATGAGTTATGGACAAACCCTGACAGACCTCCCAGAAATATTACACTTTTGGACATTTTTCTTCACCAATTTTCTCCTGTCCTCTGTGGCCTCCTGGGAAAGACCCTGGACCAAATGGGGTACTCTTACCAGACAAAGAGCTTTGATGGAGCAGTCAGTCAGACAGGGACATGGCAGACAGGCAATCAAGGTGTTAAATGATCAGGGGGCCATAATATCCGTCCTTTCAGTTTAATCACGAGCCCATAGCTCAAGTTTTACTCTGCGGTTTCAATCACCGTCCTTGTTTCCTTTCACACAGAGCTTGACCCTCTCAGCTTGCCCCTTTTAATACTCTTCACTCTAATGATAAGTTTCACTTCTCACCTCAGGCTCATTAGTCACCTTCGTAAGCAATAACACCATTTGAAGCAGGATCTATAAATTTAGGGGGATACGACCACATAAATGAGGATTTTTTTAGAATACTGTCACATAAAATCAGCCCACTCTGACTAAAAAGGACTCAAGTTCAGCAGGTTTTTCCAGACTGAAAAATTGGGCCATTTTAAGCAAGATTAGTTTAGAGAGTTGTTACTGTGTTTTAATCATGCCGGACTTCCCAGACCCCCCACTGGACGTAACATTCAGAGGCTGCAAAAAGCAAAAAAGGAGTGAGATCAGAGGTCGTGGTGGAGCTGCGGTTCGTCGGCTGCTAGCAGATAAAGAGTGACAGGCTAGCGAGAGCCTCATGAAAGTCACCATAAAATAGGTTTATAGCTTTGCATAGTAAAACTGACCTCTTCACATCTCTTTACTATGTCTGCAGTGTAATGACATTGAGTGCTACAATATAACACACATCACGACTAGATGAAAACACATGAGAGGAAGTCTGAGCGGCTCCGCCTCACTGATATGGCTCAGCCTTGCTCACTGCTGTCACTTCCTTTGTTTTACAGGAAACTCTCCGGTTAATTGGTGTTATAAATTCAAATCCATGTATTCACTGTTGAGTTTGCAATAAGGTGGCCTTTGTTTGACCCACAGTCCAGATTTAAGAAACCCTTGTACTTTCTCCAGACTCTAATTTTCCACATGTCACATTAATTTTAACCAAATGGGTATGGGCTCTCTGCCGAGAGTGAAAGGAGGGGAAATACTGGACAAAAACATAGTTTACTTTACAGAGCAAATTGTAAAGTTTCATGTCAGAGTATTGTTTTTTTTTTTAAGACAAACTAACAAGTTCAGAGTGTGCTTTTGGATATGTTAACTTTATCTTGTTGTTGTATTGATGCCCTCACTAGTGGCTTTCTTAACTTCACTTTCTGCAAAGTCTTGAAACAAACCAACAGCATAGTTTTTCCCTGTCAAATACAGTGGTTCTTTATCTAGAAGGAACATTTGAGAAAACCAGGAAAGAAATATTTCTAATGACCTCAAAACTCTCTTCCTCTGCCTCTAAATTAATGTATAACCTGCTCATTGGTTACCTTTGGAGTTGCGAGTTGGTAAATACCATTAGTTGGTCACCATTGGGAAGAGTTAGGCTAGTTTTCCTCTTAACTCTTTTGTGTTATTTTTGTGCTTAAGTAAGAAAAAACTGTGAGCTATCATTATGTGAGTGTTCTACAATATGTACAATATTACAATATTTACAATAAAATCTCGACCATTATAGCAATGTGGTGCATATTGTATCGTATCATATCGCGTTGTATCGTATTGTATCATATCATATCATATCATATCATATCGTGTTCAGAACCCTGTATGTGGTCACCACTTCACAGTAGCTTATTCAGTCCTGTAGTCATGTATTGTGTTTCCAAACTGCACTTGAACCCAACAAGAAGGTGTACCCTTACAGGTACGAGCAGCTGCATTGGCTCCCTTAAGCCGACATGTCTCAGAAATACTTCATTTCATGGCTGGCACAGTACTCCATCCCCCCGCTGTATTGAGTGAGGGTGAAACCCGTATAAATGCATAGGTTTTTTCTTGAACAGCACATACCTCTGACATTCTTTCTCTGGCGGCTCTGAGGCCTGTATGTGTGAAATGGTGTGTGGTGAATCCCACTTCTTATTCTTTTAGCATGGCTGGCACTCCTTTTGATTTCCTAGGCTCCATTACTCTTCAGTCTGGACCGTGCTTAAAGGTAAAATGCATGTAAAGGGCTGCCAGCATGTCAGAGGAGAGGATACTTTTACTATTCTTATGTCTGAGTACACAGTTTTCTTGGTACAGTCGGTGATATAATGTGGGCCGGTTTTAACAGACAGAAATGTATGGACCATTATATAAACCTTTTTTTGCTTTGTTAAGATGTGAACTGAGAGTGTAATTAAAATCCAAGAGAAAAATAACACCTCTACACTGTAGTTGGGTGGTCCTGATCTGACAGTTTTATATCTAGGGTTGAAATTTATGACTGCGCAGCTCACCACACTGCAATCAAAGGCATATGGTTGTATATAAGCTGTACATAGTCAAGCACAGTGTTGCTATGAAATCAAATCAAAAGTGTGACGTCCGTGACCCTCGTGTCCAGTTTACAGATGGAGGTCTGTCTAAAACACACGGTGTCCTGTGACCGTAATCTTGACTCTTGGCCGGGGTCATTAAACTTGACAGGATCCTGACCTTGTGGAAGATGGAACGTGGGAGACATAAGGTTCACAGTGACCCTGGCTTTTAGCACAAGTGATTTCTGCACGACGCTGACTGATGACAGTCCTACTGATCTTTTCTTTGTAGAAGAATACATTAATAAGAGCAAGAGGGGTATCATTAATTTCTTGGGTTCAAACTTCAACGGTCATTCTTCCTCCCCTCTTATTAGATAGATTCAATATTTGTCACCTTAAACCGTTCCAGACAGCAGTGCAATCCTCGCATAAAGAAACGTCTGCCTCCCTCATCCTCTCTGTGTGTTCAGATAAAAATAACATTTGAAATGTGTTGTTGCCAGTCGCTGGCAAACAGAGAGGGAGCACAATATGAAACAGATGCTGCCACAGATGGAGGATAAACAAGAACATACATTTCTGTTACAAAGCAGAACTGTCACTTGCAGCACAGAGTGATTGGGGCGAAATGAGGATTCAGAGCCTATTGTCTCGTGGGTTTCATGGTGATTCAGTACATCCGTCTTCCTGCATGTACAGAAAATCTTCGCCATAACTTTTGATATAGTTGGTTTGACACACAATGGAAGCAATTCTTCACACCCTCTGGTTTGTTTTTGCTAACAAGGATAATTAAATGACCTTTTTTGGTCCGTTATGGCTTTCATATCATTACTGCAAGCGAGAGGATGATTGAATATCTTAACCTTGAAAACCCTCCTTTTTTCAGTGCTTTAATTATATGCAACAAGTTTTGATTATCTGCCAGCAAAGGTACGAGGTTACACCTACTGTCGTCCTCTCAATGTATTTAAAGGGGGTGTGTTGTGAGTTGTAGGACAAGGTCTAGAACTGTCACCTGTTCAGAGAGCCCGAGGAAGCACAGGCATTGATTTACACCCCAGCAGGCCACCCACACCCTCAATATAGTGTGTTATGATGGGTAAACACAAATAGAGTGGTGTTGTATAAAATACAAAGCAAGATTCGAACAAAACACTCTAGACCTGCAGTGGACTCATTAATATGAGACAGGTGTCACTCTGTGTGACTCCGGATCACAGTGTCTGCATATTATATTTCAGTATTAGCCATAGACTGTATAGAATGGACGCCCAGGGTTTCCCCTACATGCAATTGATCGTGGCGCACCACCACAGCTAAATAAAAGCCACCACACCTAAAAAAAAAAAAAAATACGTTTTTATCTCACGTAGCTCTACCTCGGACTCATAGGTATCAGCAGTGTTTCCCCTACATTCATTCAGCAGTGGCGCACCGCCGCTGCTAGATTTAGTGTGCCGGTACTGAAATTTCACATGATCATTAACCCTAACCCTAACCCTAGCCCCAACCCTAACCCTAACCCTAACCCTAACCCTAGCTCCAACCCTAACCCTAACCCTAACCCATGCATTCCTATGGGAAAAAATCAAATTTTTTTAGGAACGTCCTAGAGACTCGGGAGTTGGTTCATTGCACTCAGAAAAATCCTAGCTCCAAGCCCAACCCTAACCCTAGCTCCAACACTAACCCTAACTCCAACCCTAACCCTAACCCTAGCTCCAACCCTAACCCTAACCCTAACCCATGCATTCCTATGGGAAAAAATCAATTTTTTTTAGGAACGTCCTAGAGACTCGGGAGTTGGTTCATTGCACTCAGAAAAATCCTAGCTCCAAGCCCAACCCTAACCCTAGCTCCAACACTAACCCTAACTCCAACCCTAACCCTAACCCTAACCCTAGCTCCATCCCTAACCCTAACCCTAACCCATGCATTCCTATGGAAAAAAATCAAACTTTTTTAGGAACGTCCTAGAGACTCGGGAGTTGGTTCATTGCACTCAGAAAAATCCTAGCTCCAAGCCCAACCCTAACCCTAGCTCCAACACTAACCCAAACTCCAACCCTAACCCTAACCCTAACCCTAGCTCCAACCCTAACCCTAACCCTAACCCATGCATTCCTATGGAAAAAAATCAAATTTTTTTAGGAACGTCCTAGAGACTCGGGAGTTGGTTCATTGCACTCAGAAAAATCCTAGCTCCAAGCCCAACCCTAACCCTAGCTCCAACACTAACCCTAACTCCAACCCTAACCCTAACCCTAACCCTAGCTCCAACCCTAACCCTAACCCTAACCCATGCATTCCTATGGGAAAAAATCAAATTTTTTTAGGAACGTCCCAGAGACTCGGGAGTTAGTTCATTGCACTCAGAAAAATCCTAGCTCCAAGCCCAACCCTAACCCTAACTCCAACACTAACCCTAACTCCAACCCTAACCCTAACCCTAACCCTAGCTCCAACCCTAACCCTAACCCTAACCCATGCATTCCTATGGAAAAAAATCAAATTTTTTTAGAAACGTCCTAGAGACTCGGGAGTTGGTTCATTGCACTCAGAAAAATCCTAGCTCCAAGCCCAACCCTAACCCTAGCTCCAACACTAACCCTAACTCCAACCCTAACCCTAACCCTAACCCTAACCCTAACCCTAACCCATGCATTCCTACGGAAAAAAATCAAATTTTTTTAGGAACAGCCTAGAGACTCGGGAGTTGGTTCATTGCACTCTGAAAAATCCTAGCTCCAAGCCCAACCCTAACCCTAGCTCCAACATTAACCCTAACTCCAACCCTAACCCTAACCCTAACCCTAACCCTAGCTCCAACCCTAACCCTAACCCTAACCCATGCATTCCTATGGAAAAAAATCAAATTTTTTTAGGAACGTCCTAGAGACTCGGGAGTTGGTTCATTGCACTCAGAAAAATCCTAGCTCCAAGCCCAACCCTAACCCTAGCTCCAACACTAACCCTAACTCCAACCCTAACCCTAACCCTTGCTCCAACCCAAACCCTAACCCTAACCCATGCATTCCTATGGACAAAAATCAAATTTTTTTAGGAACGTCCTAGAGACTCGGGAGTTGGTTCATTGCACTCTGAAAAATCCTAGCTCCAAGCCCAACCCTAACCCTAGCTCCAACACTAACCCTAACTCCAACCCTAACCCTAACCCTAACCCTAGCTCCAACCCTAACCCTAACCCTAACCCATGCATTCCTATGGGAAAAAATCAAATTTTTTTAGGAACGTCCTAGAGACTCGGGAGTTGGTTCATTGCACTCAGAAAAATCCTAGCTCCAAGCCCAACCCTAACCCTAGCTCCAACACTAACCCTAACTCCAACCCTAACCCTAACCCTAACCCTAGCTCCAACCCTAACCCTAACCCTAACCCATGCATTCCTATGGGAAAAAATCAAATTTTTTTAGGAACGTCCTAGAGACTCGGGAGTTGGTTCATTGCACTCAGAAAAATCCTAGCTCCAAGCCCAAACCTAACCCTAGCTCCAACACTAACCCAAACTCCAACCCTAACCCTAACCCTAACCCTAGCTCCAACCCTAACCCTAACCCTAACCCATGCATTCCTATGGGAAAAAATCAAATTTTTTTAGGAACGTCCTAGAGACTCGGGAGTTGGTTCATTGCACTCAGAAAAATCCTAGCTCCAAGCCCAACCCTAACCCTAGCTCCAACACTAACCCTAACTCCAACCCTAACCCTAACCCTAGCTCCAACCCTAACCCTAACCCTAACCCATGCATTCCTATGGAAAAAAATCAAATTTTTTTAGGAACGTCCTAGAGACTCGGGAGTTGGTTCATTGCACTCAGAAAAATCCTAGCTCCAAGCCCAACCCTAACCCTAGCTCCAACACTAACCCTAACTCCAACCCTAACCCTAACCCTAACCCTAGCTCCAACCCTAACCCTAACCCTAACCCATGCATTCCTATGGGAAAAAATCAAATTTTTTTAGGAACTTCCTAGAGACTCGATAGTTGGTTCATTGCACTCAGAAAAATCCTAGCTCCAAGCCCAACCCTAACCCTAGCTCCAACCCTAACCCTAGCTCCAACACTAACCCTAACTCCAACCCTAACCCTAACCCTAACCCTAACACTAACCCTAACCCATGCATTCCTACGGAAAAAAATCAAATTTTTTTAGGAACAGCCTAGAGACTCGGGAGTTGGTTCATTGCACTCTGAAAAATCCTAGCTCCAAGCCCAACCCTAACCCTAGCTCCAACATTAACCCTAACTCCAACCCTAACCCTAACCCTAGCTCCAACCCTAACCCTAACCCTAACCCATGCATTCCTATGGGAAAAAATCAAATTTTTTTAGGAACGTCCTAGAGACTCGGGAGTTGGTTCATTGCACTCAGAAAAATCCTAGCTCCAAGCCCAACCCTAACCCTAGCTCCAACACTAACCCTAACTCCAACCCTAACCCTAACCCTTGCTCCAACCCTAACCCTAACCCTAACCCATGCATTCCTATGGACAAAAATCAAATTTTTTTAGGAACGTCCTAGAGACTCGGGAGTTGGTTCATTGCACTCAGAAAAATCCTAGCTCCAAGCCCAACCCTAACCCTAGCTCCAACACTAACCCTAACTCCAACCCTAACCCTAACCCTAACCCTAGCTCCAACCCTAACCCTAACTAACTAACCCTAACCAAAAATCATTTAGAAGCTAGAACTCCATAGAAAATCCTAGCTCAAGCCCAACCCTAACCCTAGCTCCAACATAACCCTAACTCCAACCCTAACCCTAACCCTACCCCCTAACCCTAACCCTAACCCATGCATTCCTATGGGAAAAAATCAAATTTTTTAGGAACGTCCTAGAGACTCGGGAGTTGGTTCAGTGCACTCAGAAAAATCCTAGCTCCAAGCCCAACCCTAACCCTAGCTCCAACACTAACCCTAACTCCAACCCTAACCCTAACCCTAACCCTAGCTCCAACCCTAACCCTAACCCTAACCCATGCATTCCTATGGGAAAAAATCAAATTTTTTTAGGAACGTCCTAGAGACTCGGGAGTTGGTTCATTGCACTCAGAAAAATCCTAGCTCCAAGCCCAACCCTAACCCTAGCTCCAACACTAACCCAAACTCCAACCCTAACCCTAACCCTAACCCTAGCTCCAACCCTAACCCTAACCCTAACCCATGCATTCCTATGGAAAAAAATCAAATTTTTTTAGGAACGTCCTAGAGACTCGGGAGTTGGTTCATTGCACTCAGAAAAATCCTAGCTCCAAGCCCAACCCTAACCCTAGCTCCAACACTAACCCTAACTCCAACCCTAACCCTAACCCTAACCCTAACACTAACCCTAACCCATGCATTCCTACGGAAAAAAATCAAATTTTTTTAGGAACAGCCTAGAGACTCGGGAGTTGGTTCATTGCACTCTGAAAAATCCTAGCTCCAAGCCCAACCCTAACCCTAGCTCCAACACTAACCCTAACTCCAACCCTAACCCTAACCCTAACCCTAGCTCCAACCCTAACCCTAACCCTAACCCATGCATTCCTATGGGAAAAAAATCAAATTTTTTTAGGAACGTCCTAGAGACTCGGGAGTTGGTTCAGTGCACTCAGAAAAATCCTAGCTCCAAGCCCAACCCTAACCCTAGCTCCAACACTAACCCTAACTCCAACCCTAACCCTAACCCTAACCCTAGCTCCAACCCTAACCCTAACCCTAACCCTCATGCATTCCTATGGGAAAAAATCAAATTTTTTTAGGAACGTCCTAGAGACTCGGGAGTTGGTTCAGTGCACTCAGAAAAATCCTAGCTCCAAGCCCAACCCTAACCCTAGCTCCAACACTAACCCTAACTCCAACCCTAACCCTAACCCTAACCCTAGCTCCAACCCTAACCCTAACCCTAACCCATGCATTCCTATGGGAAAAAATCAAATTTTTTTAGGAACGTCCTAGAGACTCGGGAGTTGGTTCAGTGCACTCAGAAAAATCCTAGCTCCAAGCCCAACCCTAACCCTAGCTCCAACATTAACCCTAACTCCAACCCTAACCCTAACCCTAACCCTAGCTCCAACCCTAACCCTAACCCTAACCCATGCATTCCTATGGGAAAAAATCAAATTTTTTTAGGAACGTCCTAGAGACTCGGGAGTTGGTTCAGTGCACTCAGAAAAATCCTAGCTCCAAGCCCAACCCTAACCCTAGCTCCAACACTAACCCTAACTCCAACCCTAACCCTAACCCTAACCCTAGCTCCAACCCTAACCCTAACCCTAACCCATGCATTCCTATGGGAAAAAATCAAATTTTTTTAGGAACGTCCTAGAGACTCGGGAGTTGGTTCAGTGCACTCAGAAAAATCCTAGCTCCAAGCCCAACCCTAACCCTAGCTCCAACACTAACCCTAACTCCAACCCTAACCCTAACCCTAACCCTAGCTCCAACCCTAACCCTAACCCTAACCCATGCATTCCTATGGGAAAAAATCAAATTTTTTTAGGAACGTCCTAGAGACTCGGGAGTTGGTTCAGTGCACTCAGAAAAATCCTAGCTCCAAGCCCAACCCTAACCCTAGCTCCAACACTAACCCTAACTCCAACCCTAACCCTAACCCTAACCCTAGCTCCATCCCTAACCCTAACCCTAACCCATGCATTCCTATGGAAAAAAATCAAACTTTTTTAGGAACGTCCTAGAGACTCGGGAGTTGGTTCATTGCACTCAGAAAAATCCTAGCTCCAAGCCCAACCCTAACCCTAGCTCCAATACTAACCCAAACTCCAACCCTAACCCTAACCCTAACCCTAGCTCCAACCCTAACCCTAACCCTAACCCATGCATTCCTATGGAAAAAAATCAAATTTTTTTAGGAACGTCCTAGAGACTCGGGAGTTGGTTCATTGCACTCAGAAAAATCCTAGCTCCAAGCCCAACCCTAACCCTAGCTCCAACACTAACCCTAACTCCAACCCTAACCCTAACCCTAGCTCCAACCCTAACCCTAACCCTAACCCATGCATTCCTATGGAAAAAAATCAAATTTTTTTAGGAACGTCCTAGAGACTCGGGAGTTGGTTCATTGCACTCAGAAAAATCCTAGCTCCAAGCCCAACCCTAACCCTAGCTCCAACACTAACCCTAACTCCAACCCTAACCCTAACCCTAACCCTAGCTCCAACCCTAACCCTAACCCTAACCCATGCATTCCTATGGGAAAAAATCAAATTTTTTTAGGAACTTCCTAGAGACTCGATAGTTGGTTCATTGCACTCAGAAAAATCCTAGCTCCAAGCCCAACCCTAACCCTAGCTCCAACACTAACCCTAACTCCAACCCTAACCCTAACCCTAACCCTAACCCTAGCTCCAACCCTAACCCTAACCCTAACCCATGCATTCCTATGGGAAAAAATCAAATTTTTTTAGGAACGTCCTAGAGACTCGGGAGTTGGTTCATTGCACTCAGAAAAATCCTAGCTCCAAGCCCAACCCTAACCCTAGCTCCAACACTAACCCTAACTCCAACCCTAACCCTAACCCTAACCCTAGCTCCAACCCTAACCCTAACCCTAACCCATGCATTCCTATGGGAAAAAATCAAATTTTTTTAGGAATGTCCTAGAGACTCGGGAGTTGGTTCATTGCACTCAGAAAAATCCTAGCTCCAAGCCCAACCCTAACCCTAGCTCCAACACTAACCCTAACTCCAACCCTAACCCTAGCTCCAACCCTAACCCTAACCCTAACCCATGCATTCCTATGGGAAAAAATCTAATTTTTTTAGGAACGTCCTAGAGACTCGGGAGTTGGTTCATTGCACTCAGAAAAATCCCAGCTCCAAGCCCAACCCTAACCCTAGCTCCAACACTAACCCTAACTCCAACCCTAACCCTAACCCTAACCCTAGCTCTAACCCTAACCCTAACCCTAACCCTAACCCATGCATTCCTATGGAAAAAAATCAAATTTTTTTAGGAACGTCCTAGAGACTCGGGAGTTGGTTCATTGCACTCTGAAAAATCCTAGCTCCAAGCCCAACCCTAACCCTAGCTCCAACACTAACTCTAACTCCAACCCTAACCCTAACCCTAACCCTAACCCTAGCTCCAACCCTAACCCTAACCCTAACCCATGCATTCCTATGGAAAAAAATCAAATTTTTTTAGGAACGTCCTAGAGACTCGGGAGTTGGTTCATTGCACTCAGAAAAATCCTAGCTCCAAGCCCAACCCTAACCCTAGCTCCAACACTAACCCTAACTCCAACCCTAACCCTAACCCTAACCCTAGCTCCAACCCTAACCCTAACCCTAACCCATGCATTCCTATGGGAAAAAATCAAATTTTTTTAGGAACGTCCTAGAGACTCGGGAGTTGGTTCAGTGCACTCAGAAAAATCCTAGCTCCAAGCCCAACCCTAACCCTAGCTCCAACATTAACCCTAACTCCAACCCTAACCCTAACCCTAACCCTAGCTCCAACCCTAACCCTAACCCTAACCCATGCATTCCTATGGGAAAAAATCAAATTTTTTTAGGAACGTCCTAGAGACTCGGGAGTTGGTTCAGTGCACTCAGAAAAATCCTAGCTCCAAGCCCAACCCTAACCCTAGCTCCAACACTAACCCTAACTCCAACCCTAACCCTAACCCTAACCCTAGCTCCAACCCTAACCCTAACCCTAACCCATGCATTCCTATGGGAAAAAATCAAATTTTTTTAGGAACGTCCTAGAGACTCGGGAGTTGGTTCAGTGCACTCAGAAAAATCCTAGCTCCAAGCCCAACCCTAACCCTAGCTCCAACACTAACCCTAACTCCAACCCTAACCCTAACCCTAACCCTAGCTCCAACCCTAACCCTAACCCTAACCCATGCATTCCTATGGGAAAAAATCAAATTTTTTTAGGAACGTCCTAGAGACTCGGGAGTTGGTTCAGTGCACTCAGAAAAATCCTAGCTCCAAGCCCAACCCTAACCCTAGCTCCAACACTAACCCTAACTCCAACCCTAACCCTAACCCTAACCCTAGCTCCAACCCTAACCCTAACCCTAACCCATGCATTCCTATGGGAAAAAATCAAATTTTTTTAGGAACGTCCTAGAGACTCGGGAGTTGGTTCAGTGCACTCAGAAAAATCCTAGCTCCAAGCCCAACCCTAACCCTAGCTCCAACACTAACCCTAACTCCAACCCTAACCCTAACCCTAACCCTAGCTCCAACCCTAACCCTAACCCTAACCCATGCATTCCTATGGAAAAAAATCAAATTTTTTTAGGAACGTCCTAGAGACTCGGGAGTTAGTTCATTGCACTCAGAAAAATCCTAGCTCCAAGCCCAACCCTAACCCTAGCTCCAACACTAACCCTAACTCCAACCCTAACCCTAACCCTAACCCTAGCTCCAACCCTAACCCTAACCCTAACCCATGCATTCCTATGGAAAAAAATCAAATTTTTTTAGAAACGTCCTAGAGACTCGGGAGTTGGTTTATTGCACTCAGAAAAATCCTAGCTCCAAGCCCAACCCTAACCCTAGCTCCAACACTAACCCTAACTCCAACCCTAACCCTAACCCTAACCCTAGCTCCAACCCTAACCCTAACCCCCTAACCCATGCATTCCTATGGGAAAAAATCAAATTTTTTTAGGAACGTCCTAGAGACTCGGGAGTTGGTTCAGTGCACTCAGAAAAATCCTAGCTCCAAGCCCAACCCTAACCCTAGCTCCAACACTAACCCAAACTCCAACCCTAACCCTAACCTTAACCCTAGCTCCAACCCTAACCCATGCATTCCTATGGAAAAAAATCAAATTTTTTTAGGAACGTCCTAGAGACTCGGGAGTTGGTTCATTGCACTCAGAAAAATCCTAGCTCCAAGCCCAACCCTAACCCTAGCTCCAACACTAACCCTAACTCCAACCCTAACCCTAACCCTAACCCTAGCTCCAACCCTAACCCTAACCCTAACCCATGCATTCCTATGGGAAAAAATCAAATTTTTTTAGGAACGTCCTAGAGACTCGGGAGTTGGTTCATTGCACTCAGAAAAATCCTAGCTCCAAGCCCAACCCGAACCCTAGCTCCAACACTAACCCTAACTCCAACCCTAACCCTAACCCTAGCTCCAACCCTAACCCTAACCCTAACCCATGCATTCCTATGGAAAAAAATCAATTTTTTTTAAGGAACGTCCTAGAGACTCGGGAGTTGGTTCATTGCACTCAGAAAAATCCTAGCTCCAAGCCCAACCCTAACCCTAGCTCCAACACTAACCCTAACTCCAACCCTAACCCTAACCCTAACCCTAGCTCCAACCCTAACCCTAACCCTAACCCATGCATTCCTATGGAAAAAAATCAAATTTTTTTAGGAACGTCCTAGAGACTCGGGAGTTGGTTCATTGCACTCAGAAAAATCCTAGCTCCAAGCCCAACCCTAACCCTAGCTCCAACACTAACCCTAACTCCAACCCTAACCCTAACCCTAACCCTAGCTCCAACCCTAACCCTAACCCTAACCCATGCATTCCTATGGAAAAAAATCAAATTTTTTTAGGAACGTCCTAGAGACTCGGGAGTTGGTTCATTGCACTCAGAAAAATCCTAGCTCCAAGCCCAACCCTAACCCTAGCTCCAACACTAACCCTAACTCCAACCCTAACCCTAACCCTAACCCTAGCTCCATCCCTAACCCTAACCCTAACCCATGCATTCCTATGGAAAAAAATCAAATTTTTTTAGGAACGTCCTAGAGACTCGGGAGTTGGTTCATTGCACTCAGAAAAATCCTAGCTCCAAGCCCAACCCTAACCCTAGCTCCAACACTTACCCTAACTCCAACCCTAACCCTAACCCTAACCCTAGCTCCAACCCTAACCCTAACCCATGCATTCCTATGGAAGAAAATCAAATTTTTTTAGGAATGTCCTAGAGACTCGGGAGTTGGTTCATTGCACTCAGAAAAATCCTAGCTCCAAGCCCAACCCTAACCCTAGCTCCAACACTAACCCTAACTCCAACCCTAACCCTAACCCTAACCCTAGCTCCAACCCTAACCCTAACCCTAACCCATGCATTCCTATGGAAAAAAATCAAATTTTTTTAGGAACGTCCTAGAGACTCGGGAGTTAGTTCATTGCACTCAGAAAAATCCTAGCTCCAAGCCCAACCCTAACCCTAGCTCCAACACTAACCCTAACTCCAACCCTAACCCTAACCCTAACCCTAGCTCCAACCCCACCCCCTAACCCTAACCCATGCATTCCTATGGGAAAAAATCAAATTTTTTTAGGAACGTCCTAGAGACTCGGGAGTTGGTTCAGTGCACTCAGAAAAATCCTAGCTCCAAGCCCAACCCTAACCCTAGCTCCAACACTAACCCTAACTCCAACCCTAACCCTAACCCTAACCCTACCCTTCCAACCCTAACCCTAACCCTAACCCATGCATTCCTATGGGAAAAAATCAAATTTTTTTAGGAACGTCCTAGAGACTCGGTAGTTGGTTCATTGCACTCAGAAAAATCCTAGCTCCAAGCCCAACCCTAACCCTAGCTCCAACACTAACCCTAACTCCAACCCTAACCCTAACCCTAACCCTAGCTCCAACCCTAACCCTAACCCTAACCCATGCATTCCTATGGGAAAAAATAAAATTTTTTTAGGAACGTCCTAGAGACTCGGGAGTTGGTTCATTGCACTCAGAAAAATCCTAGCTCCAAGCCCAACCCTAACCCTAGCTCCAACACTAACCCTAACTCCAACCCTAACCCTAACCCTAACCCTAGCTCCAACCCTAACCCTAACCCTAACCCTAACCCATGCATTCCTATGGGAAAAAATCAAATTTTTTTAGGAACGTCCTAGAGATTCGGGAGTTGGTTCATTGCACTCAGAAAAATCCTAGCTCCAAGCCCAACCCTAACCCTAGCTCCAACATTAACCCTAACTCCAACCCTAACCCTAACCCTAACCCTAGCTCCAACCCTAACCCTAACCCTAACCCATGCATTCCTATGGAAAAAAATCAATTTTTTTTAGGAACGTCCTAGAGACTCGGGAGTTGGTTCATTGCACTCAGAAAAATCCTAGCTCCAAGCCCAACCCTAACCCTAGCTCCAACACTAACCCTAACTCCAACCCTAACCCTAACCCTAACCCTAGCTCCAACCCTAACCCTAACCCTAACCCATGCATTCCTATGGAAAAAAATCAAATTTTTTTAGGAACGTCCTAGAGACTCGGGAGTTAGTTCATTGCACTCAGAAAAATCCTAGCTCCAAGCCCAACCCTAACCCTAGCTCCAACACTAACCCTAACTCCAACCCTAACCCTAACCCTAACCCTAGCTCCAACCCTAACCCTAACCCTAACCCATGCATTCCTATGGAAAAAAATCAAATTTTTTTAGAAACGTCCTAGAGACTCGGGAGTTGGTTCATTGCACTCAGAAAAATCCTAGCTCCAAGCCCAACCCTAACCCTAGCTCCAACACTAACCCTAACTCCAACCCTAACCCTAACCCTAACCCTAGCTCCAACCCTAACCCTAACCCTAACCCATGCATTCCTATGGAAAAAAATCAATTTTTTTTAGAAACGTCCTAGAGACTCGGGAGTTGGTTCATTGCACTCAGAAAAATCCTAGCTCCAAGCCCAACCCTAACCCTAGCTCCAACACTAACCCTAACTCCAACCCTAACCCTAACCCTAACCCTAGCTCCAACCCTAACCCTAACCCTAACCCATGCATTCCTATGGGAAAAAATCAAATTTTTTTAGGAACGTCCTAGAGACTCGGGAGTTGGTTCATTGCACTCAGAAAAATCCTAGCTCCAAGCCCAACCCTAACCCTAGCTCCAACACTAACCCTAACTCCAACCCTAACCCTAACCCTAACCCTAGCTCCAACCCTAACCCTAACCCTAACCCATGCATTCCTATGGAAAAAAATCAAATTTTTTTAGAAACGTCCTAGAGACTCGGGAGTTGGTTCATTGCACTCAGAAAAATCCTAGCTCCAAGCCCAACCCTAACCCTAGCTCCAACACTAACCCTAACTCCAACCCTAACCCTAACCCTAACCCTAGCTCCAACCCTAACCCTAACCCTAACCCATGCATTCCTATGGAAAAAAATCAAATTTTTTTAGAAACGTCCTAGAGACTCGGGAGTTGGTTCATTGCACTCAGAAAAATCCTAGCTCCAAGCCCAACCCTAACCCTAGCTCCAACACTAACCCAAACTCCAACCCTAACCCTAACCTTAACCCTAGCTCCAACCCTAACCCTAACCCTAACCCATGCATTCCTATGGAAAAAAATCAAATTTTTTTAGGAACGTCCTAGAGACTCGGGAGTTGGTTCATTGCACTCAGAAAAATCCTAGCTCCAAGCCCAACCCTAACCCTAGCTCCAACACTAACCCTAACTCCAACCCTAACCCTAACCCTAACCCTAGCTCCAACCCTAACCCTAACCCTAACCCATGCATTCCTATGGGAAAAAATCAAATTTTTTTAGGAACGTCCTAGAGACTCGGGAGTTGGTTCATTGCACTCAGAAAAATCCTAGCTCCAAGCCCAACCCGAACCCTAGCTCCAACACTAACCCTAACTCCAACCCTAACCCTAACCCTAGCTCCAACCCTAACCCTAACCCTAACCCATGCATTCCTATGGAAAAAAATCAATTTTTTTTAAGGAACGTCCTAGAGACTCGAGAGTTGGTTCATTGCACTCAGAAAAATCCTAGCTCCAAGCCCAACCCTAACCCTAGCTCCAACACTAACCCTAACTCCAACCCTAACCCTAACCCTAACCCTAGCTCCAACCCTAACCCTAACCCTAACCCATGCATTCCTATGGGAAAAAATCAAATTTTTTTAGGAACGTCCTAGAGACTCGGGAGTTGGTTCAGTGCACTCAGAAAAATCCTAGCTCCAAGCCCAACCCTAACCCTAGCTCCAACACTAACCCTAACTCCAACCCTAACCCTAACCCTAACCCTAGCTCCAACCCTAACCCTAACCCTAACCCATGCATTCCTATGGAAAAAAATCAAATTTTTTTAGGAACGTCCTAGAGACTCGGGAGTTGGTTCATTGCACTCAGAAAAATCCTAGCTCCAAGCCCAACCCTAACCCTAGCTCCAACACTAACCCTAACTCCAACCCTAACCCTAACCCTAACCCTAGCTCCATCCCTAACCCTAACCCTAACCCATGCATTCCTATGGAAAAAAATCAAATTTTTTTAGGAACGTCCTAGAGACTCGGGAGTTGGTTCATTGCACTCAGAAAAATCCTAGCTCCAAGCCCAACCCTAACCCTAGCTCCAACACTTACCCTAACTCCAACCCTAACCCTAACCCTAACCCTAGCTCCAACCCTAACCCTAACCCTAACCCATGCATTCCTATGGAAGAAAATCAAATTTTTTTAGGAATGTCCTAGAGACTCGGGAGTTGGTTCATTGCACTCAGAAAAATCCTAGCTCCAAGCCCAACCCTAACCCTAGCTCCAACACTAACCCTAACTCCAACCCTAACCCTAACCCTAGCTCCAACCCTAACCCTAACCCTAACCCATGCATTCCTATGGAAAAAAATCAAATTTTTTTAGGAACGTCCTAGAGACTCGGGAGTTAGTTCATTGCACTCAGAAAAATCCTAGCTCCAAGCCCAACCCTAACCCTAGCTCCAACACTAACCCTAACTCCAACCCTAACCCTAACCCTAACCCTAGCTCCAACCCCACCCCTAACCCTAACCCTAACCCATGCATTCCTATGGGAAAAAATCAAATTTTTTTAGGAACGTCCTAGAGACTCGGGAGTTGGTTCATTGCACTCAGAAAAATCCTAGCTCCAAGCCCAACCCTAACCCTAGCTCCAACACTAACCCTAACTCCAACCCTAACCCTAACCCTAACCCTAGCAGCTCCAACCCTAACCCTAACCCTAACCCATGCATTCCTATGGGAAAAAATCAAATTTTTTTAGGAACGTCCTAGAGACTCGGTAGTTGGTTCATTGCACTCAGAAAAATCCTAGCTCCAAGCCCAACCCTAACCCTAGCTCCAACACTAACCCTAACTCCAACCCTAACCCTAACCCTAACCCTAGCTCCAACCCTAACCCTAACCCTAACCCATGCATTCCTATGGGAAAAAATAAAATTTTTTTAGGAACGTCCTAGAGACTCGGGAGTTGGTTCATTGCACTCAGAAAAATCCTAGCTCCAAGCCCAACCCTAACCCTAGCTCCAACACTAACCCTAACTCCAACCCTAACCCTAACCCTAACCCTAGCTCCAACCCTAACCCTAACCCTAACCCTAACCCATGCATTCCTATGGGAAAAAATCAAATTTTTTTAGGAACGTCCTAGAGATTCGGGAGTTGGTTCATTGCACTCAGAAAAATCCTAGCTCCAAGCCCAACCCTAACCCTAGCTCCAACACTTACCCTAACTCCAACCCTAACCCTAACCCTAACCCTAACCCTAACCCTAGCTCCAACCCTAACCCTAACCCTAACCCATGCATTCCTATGGGAAAAAATCAAATTTTTTTAGGAACGTCCTAGAGACTCGGTAGTTGGTTCATTGCACTCAGAAAAATCCTAGCTCCAAGCCCAACCCTAACCCTAGCTCCAACACTAACCCTAACTCCAACCCTAACCCTAACCCTAACCCTAGCTCCAACCCTAACCCTAACCCTAACCCATGCATTCCTATGGGAAAAAATAAAAATTTTTTAGGAACGTCCTAGAGACTCGGGAGTTGGTTCATTGCACTCAGAAAAATCCTAGCTCCAAGCCCAACCCTAACCCTAGCTCCAACACTAACCCTAATTCCAACCCTAACCCTAACCCTAACCCTAGCTCCAACCCTAACCCTAACCCTAACCCATGCATTCCTATGGAAAAAAATCAAATTTTTTTAGGAACGTCCTAGAGACTCGGGAGTTGGTTCATTGCACTCAGAAAAATCCTAGCTCCAAGCCCAACCCTAACCCTAGCTCCAACACTAACCCTAACTCCAACCCTAACCCTAACCCTAACCCTAGCTCCAACCCTAACCCTAACCCTAACCCATGCATTTCTATGGAAAAAAATCAAATTTTTTTAGGAACGTCCTAGAGACTCGGGAGTTGGTTCATTGCACTCAGAAAAATCCTAGCTCCAAGCCCAACCCTAACCCTAGCTCCAACACTAACCCTAACTCCAACCCTAACCCTAACCCTAACCCTAGCTCCAACCCTAACCCTAACCCTAACCCATGCATTCCTATGGGAAAAAATCAATTTTTTTTAGGAACGTCCTAGAGATTCGGGAGTTGGTTCATTGCACTCAGAAAAATCCTAGCTCCAAGCCCAACCCTAACCCTAGCTCCAACACTAACCCTAATTCCAACCCTAACCCTAACCCTAACCCTAGCTCCAACCCTAACCCTAACCCTAACCCATGCATTCCTATGGAAGAAAATCAAATTTTTTTAGGAACGTCCTAGAGACTCGGGAGTTGGTTCATTGCACTCAGAAAAATCCTAGCTCCAACACTAACCCTAACCCTAGCTCCAACACTAACCCTAACTCCAACCCTAACCCTAACCCTAACCCGAGCTCCAACCCTAACCCTAACCCTAACCCATGCATTCCTATGGGAAAAAATCAAATTTTTTTAGGAACGTCCTAGAGACTCGGGAGTTGGTTCATTGCACTCAGAAAAATCCTAGCTCCAAGCCCAACCCTAACCCTAGCTCCAACACTAACCCTAACTCCAACCCTAACCCTAACCCTAACCCTAGCTCCAACCCTAACCCTAACCCTAACCCATGCATTCCTATGGGAAAAAATCAAATTTTTTTAGGAACGTCCTAGAGACTCAGGAGCTGGTTCATTGCACTCAGAAAAATCCTAGCTCCAAGCCCAACCCTAACCCTAGCTCCAACACTAACCCTAACTCCAACCCTAACCCTAACCCTAACCCTAGCTCCAACCCCACACCTAACCCTAACCCATGCATTCCGATGGGAAAAAATCAAATTTTTTTAGGAACGTCCTAGAGACTCGGTAGTTGGTTCATTGCACTCAGAAAAATCCTAGCTCCAAGCCCAACCCTAACCCTAGCTCCAACACTAACCCTAACTCCAACCCTAACCCTAACCCTAACCCTAGCTCCAACCCTAACCCTAACCCTAACCCATGCATTCCTATGGGAAAAAATCAAATTTTTTTAGGAACGTCCTAGAGATTCGGGAGTTGGTTCATTGCACTCAGAAAAATCCTAGCTCCAAGCCCAACCCTAACCCTAGCTCCAACACTAACCCTAACTCCAACCCTAACCCTAACCCTAACCCTAGCTCCAACCCTAACTCACTCTGTGTGAACACAATAACACACAACGTTATTTCTTACTTGTTTTGAGTCATCAACGAGTGCATCAAATCCTGTCAGACCCTCTTTCACTAATGTGAAGGGTAACATTTAAGCTTATACATGGTCTGTATAGCGAGTAGCATGTGTAACGTAATGAGAATGAAACGGCGTAGCTCCTGGAGCGGCAAGACAGTGGGGGTTACAATGACCCCCCCCACCCCACCCCACTCACACACACACACACACACACACACACACACACACACACACACACACACACACACACACACACAATTCAAGGGGAAACACTGATGCTATCTGTCTGCCTCCTCACTGGGTGGAGACACTGCAAGGACAGCACCCTCTGGTGACAGGTTGCAGTATAGGTCATAAATCCCGCTTCTTCCAGCACCCATATGGAGCTGTGGACAAACTTTAGAAATTTATTACACAGAATGTAAATTTTTCTCCCCCCTGCTTGCGGTGTTGACATGTTGTTACAGTAAGACTGGTCTGTCCTCTTTTTTTCTGTGCAGCTCCATTTTTAAAAGTTATTAGGGGGTTCATGTTTTCTATGATTGACACTTAATACAGTCTATGGGCGTACGAAGATTGCATAGCTCACCCGAGGGATAAGCTGTTTTAGCCAAGAGTCATCACAGTAACTCTCCCGCTGAATGCGTACAACACTACTGCGCAATGTTGGTATCAGGAAATGGAGAAAAATTGCAAAACTACCAAGAGTTTTTCGGCTTTAAATCCGTATACTGGCAGAAGGCAAAACGAAGTTGTCCATAGTATATCCAGTCTATGGTGTTAGCTCTGAGACTCGAGAAGATGAGTCTACAAATGATCTGTGCTTGTTATTTGCCTGATTAACATGTTTTTTTGTGTTGTTGTTGTTGTTGTTGGATGTGAGGTGATACAGCAGAACTAATCGGGTCCCAGATGCGTATGCCCAGTTTTTTGGGGATTCACAGTGGGCAATTCTCTCTATTCACCAAACCCTTAAAAGAAAAAGAAAATGAAAAAAACCTGAAACCTGTGGGAGCTAGATTGAATTTGAGGATAAGGTTGTGTTTTGCAGCTTATAGACACAAATATTCTTTTAAAGATTATTTCTTGTAATTTGGTTAGCTATGGTGGTAGAAGATGGCGGCCTTCTCTTATGTAAATATAAAAGACTCAATCTCTTCAAAGTTAACAACATACAGATATATTTTTCAATTCATATGATTGCGCATTAATTTAAACATACTGTTGAATATTATACTTCATTTCCACCAAGTCTGTTCTGCTATATGCGGCTAATTGATGCTCACTGCATCTATGAGAGTTGATGAAATCTGGTGTTGGACAGTTTCTCTCTACTCTAACTCCAGTCTCACATGTTGAGATGTGGGGCAGACAGTAACTAACAACCAGTGCATGGAGAGAAGAAGTTTTTTTTTTTGCTCTCTACAACTCGAGAGTCATACAGGTTCATGAGGGTGAAAAGGCTTCAGTCTGTTGCATCAGACCCTCTGTAGTCTGCTTCTGTAGGTGGTATCTGTCTCTGACTGTCATCCCGTCTTTGCAGGTCACTCATCGGCTGGGCAAAGTTTGGCTCTGTCTCCAAACACAGCCTGCACTCAACCTGAAGCCTGCCTTTTCCTCTGATCCGCTGACTCACTCTGCACACAGCGCAGCGTTCAGTCCAGCCAGGAGAGACTCCAGGAAGAGGTAAACAATGCAGCTCAGAGGCTTGCAGATGACAGGTACACAAGCTCTGCTATTTTTTAAAGCAAAGGGCAAGCACTCAGGGGTTGCAAACACCCACACACAAATATTTTTGTGCGCAGATAAATACTATGGTGTGTAGGAGTTTGTAACGGTAGCACACATACACAGACATAGAAACAGAGGGAAAGAGAGGGAGCGCAACAAGAGCATATTTTCTGTTTTCCATGCCCTGGGCGTTAGACATACCAGAAGCGACAGAAATCTCGCCAAGTGGGATAAGATCATAAAACTGTGAGGCGCTCTCCTCTCATTTTCAACTAAATGGATAAAATGGTGTCAGCATGTTACTGCGAGCCCCTCAGGATCCAAAATACTGGCAGGTCTATAAACTAAGGCAGTTACTCCATGACAAGACTTCGAATCCTTTCCCATCAAGAAAGATATTATTTCAAATGATGCAGCAATTATGGAGTAAAAGTCTTCAGGAATAACACTGTCAAAATATTCTATTATTTCCTGGTGACCCACATAATGGTAACCCTTGTCATAACTTTTCTATTACTTTATCGATCCTTATCTTGAAATGTAAGGGAGTGCTGTTTTTCTTCTTATTTCACAATGTAGGATAAAAAAGTTCTTATATCAGTGTTACCTCCGTTTTTTTTTTACACCTTTGGAGCAGAAAGCTAACTTTCTTTTGTGGCTTCTATTTCTTTCTTCTTCTTTTTTTTGTGAAGCCGGTAATAGCAAGTTGCAGAGGTGTTGATAGATTGTCTTTGTCACATTGCAAAGCTCTGCTGTGTTTAATTCCTTTTTCTCAGTCTTGCTGATCTAGATCAGCTCTAGACGATTTCAATTACCGTCACCTTTTCTCCGAGCTTCCTCCGGTAGAAGTGGGCTGTCAGTTTTCTAAGTCGTTAGGCTTTGTGTTCACCTCGAAGACCTGCAGGTTCAGCTGTCACATCACAGTCTGTGTGGAAGAAGAGGAAAGAAGCAAGTGAAGTAGAGGTGGGTGAAAAAGATTAACTGGATTAAATGATGGTTAAGGGGTCCGATTCTGTCAAATTTTTAGCGGAGGTTTCATTTAAGAATCCAGGAAGAGGAAGAAAAAACTTTCCACACTGTGATGTTTTTGACAACTAATTCAACATGACTTATTGAAAAGTCAACTTTTTGTATTCTAGCTGGTGTTTAGCAGATAAATCTTTACAAGAGCATGAGACAAACTGTCCGTCAGTGTGTTCCTGTATCCAGCAGCATAATCTGCTTCACATAATCTGTAATGTGATCTATCAAAATGCTTCCAACGCATAAAATCTTACCCCTTGCCTACAGATACCTTCTATCATTTATAGTCTGAGTGGTTTTTTATATTAGCGGGCTTCGGCTGTGTAGAGGAAAACTGCCACTGGTGAAGGTAATGATTTTGACGTAATGTGGTTTTGTAACCTACTGGTCGTCATCTGGTGGATTCAGCATTTTATTTCTCTCCATAAACAGACACCTGGATGTAAGTGAAGCTTACAGTCCCATTGTAGTCATAATTTTATGTTGTCAATACCGTTCACAGTTGTGAGGTTGGAACTGTAAATAAACAGTGCTCATACAAAGAAAGAAAGATAACCTCTGGCCTCATGGTAAGCCTTTCAAGATTGGCCTTTGCTCCCACTGACTATCTTGTTGTTGGACAACAGCCTCTGGGTTGCTGGTTTATGCCCCTTTTCTGTGTAACTATGAAATCCTCTCTATTCGTCCCTTTACCTACAGACTTCTGTACTTTAACCACCAGAAGTGCCGTCCTGCTATAAACTCTATAAAACACCTTCACCGGCTGGAGAAAATCTTTCACACACTTTCTCACCAGGGACATGCTGGGTCAGGTTATATCATCCCCACGAGCCAGTGAAACCAGTGTCTGCACTTCTTTTCTCTGACATTTTTGATTTGAGCAGTGCTGCGGGGTGGTCATGGCTGGAGGGGAGTTTAAACTCCATGTGCTGGCTCTCCACGAAACTATGCAATTATCTGGCGCTTGATAGCAGGACCTGTCACATTCGGTGTCAGCGTTTTGAGTGTGCATGGGGAAGAGAATGGAAGCTACTTCTGGAAGAAAGAACCCCCTAAAGGCACAATGCAGCATCAGAATAGAGATCAGCTGCAGGCGCACAGTAACTGACATGTTAGTCTAACTTTCACACGCTTGTTATTCATATGCACTCATTTACTTTCAGTTTTTGTTATTATCAACTGCAGCTGGAGCAGGTTACTCATTTTAATGATGCACACTGTCTATTGTTGAATATCTTTGTGTACATTTCAGAAGGATATCAGTTGTGGATTCATTATTCAGCTCTGCACCATCTGTACTTTGAGGAAAAGGTTTGAATGGGGTTACAGTGATTGAGTGGCACATGCTTGTCAGAGGATTGCTGCAAATATTGCTGCATTTAGAGAAGGCAGAACTCCCCCTGCATGCCAATCAGGCTGACGGCTAATCCCCTCCACCCACATTCACTCACCCACCAACGTGTGCTCTCTGACTTGCTTCTTCAGGGACTCTCTCAGCACACCACCCCTGTAGAACTGGACACATATGTCCATCACAACCTTCATTCGTGCACCCACAACCCTTGAAAAGCTGGCACTAATTGAATCTGCTTTTGTCAGGTGGATTGTCTTACCTAAACATGGAGGCAAATGACACTAACACTGTTAAATGTCTGCTCACTCTAGCATGGCTGCCTGCATTGATTCACTCACTTTCAACATGCTGGCTGTGTGTGTGTGTGCTTAAGTGCATTCAGTTTTCTGTTCTTTTCAGTAGCTGACATCCATAGAAACACATGTATTGATGAAAAAAGTAACAGAAAAACTAAGAGCGCTCCGTCTGCTGTTTTAAAGATATCGATTTACACAAGAGGAGATGTGAAAGGGACCTTTGCCCGAGCTTATGTGCTGCTGTGTGTGTAGGTGTACTTGCTGGAGGAGTGAGTGTGTGATCATACAAGCCTGCCTTCTACATCTGCATGGCTCTATTTTGGCGTCAAAGAACAGAAACTCGACAAAAGTGGTTATGAACAATTGTGTCAGTGATAGGAGCTCAGCTATGCACACACACAAAGCCCATTCTCTTGAGCTTCTTCTCTGATCTCTCTTTTCCCTGTCATGTCGAGACAGTAACAGGTGTCTCACCTAAGGCAAAAACACTGTATTGCTGTCTCTCCCTCTGTATCTCTCTCTGTATTTATCTTCTGCTGCTGCTCTCTTGGATAAAGTAGAAATGTTGAAGTAAATTTGGAATCCACACTAAGTCTCTGTCGTGCTCCTCTGCTGCTGCTGCTGCAGCCTCGCAGCTATTTGCCGCTGGGATTAACCACATGGTGCTGCCTAGCTTGGACACCTTCCCAGTCATGCACCCATGCTGTGCTGGCTGGATGAACAGAAGGTCAGGACATGCCATAACACTGCGCAACACTGGGATGAAACAACAAACCAGGCAGCACAAGGCATCCAAGACACACTATAGACAGCCGCTAGTATCTGAACAGTTTCTAATCTAGGTTACTCACCTGAGTGTGCCGAGTGAGCTTTACAGATTTCATCCATCAAGGTATCACACAGTGAAGCTGCATTTTCAATTTGATATGTAACATCGCCTCCCTAATGGGAGATGTGAGGTCTTATGAAGAATACAAAGTGCACCCTGGAAAGTGGTATTAACATGAAAATGAGGCTGTGAGGGAACAGGTTTGAGCAATTTCTGAAGAAAAATATGACAGAGATACATCTCTTCTTTCCTCTGTTTGCATTGTGTGCTGAATGAGTCATGACATAATGTATTTCTATCTGTTCTTTGACATCTATACCATCATCCCTCCTACACAGCCCTGCTCACAGAAGCACAGAGCCACTGTAAAGCAGAACCGCCTCACTCACTTAATTAAACACTGGCAGATTAATTCATGAGTGAGTGCTATTTGACAGTAGGATGTGTCTTTCACAGGAAGCTGACATGAATATCTGCTTCACTGCCAGAGCCTCACACTCGTGTAATTAAAATGCAATTTTAGTTAAATGTAACAGCTGAGATTATGAATATGAGGAAGGTAATTTTCTTATCAGATATGCAACATTATACAGTCCTGTAATTTGCAGGAAAACTGTATGCATAAAAAAAAATCAACAACTGACCATAAGAGACATTTTTGTCTTTTTCATATCTCATGATTTTATCTTAACATATTCATTCATTCATACGACTCAGGTTGATCA